GAATGCCTCTGATGGGAGTTATCAATCAACCTTTTGTGTCACAAGACCTAAATACCCTCAGGTAAAAGAGGAACACTTTTGGTTTATTCCTATATTACAACTTTTAGAACTTATGATTCAGCTTTGCTCATTGGCAGGATTATCACTCTACGTGACATTCCCACAGCTCAGTACATTGACGTGTTCCCGCTAAAAGTCTGCATGTTCGAATGGAAGCTCCTCCTATTTTTAATCCTGGATTTGGAATAATTTTATTTGTGGCTAAGTGCATGCTGGTAGTTTTTTTTTCTTTTTTCTTTTGCTAGAGGGCATATACATTTGCCAGAGAGAAGCAGTGAGATAGGACAGAGCGGAGAGAGAAGAGGAGAAAGCAGGCCTCACGAGGAATGGTTACACTGCAATCCCTTCTCCATCTCTCCCTCCTTTCAGGATTTTGGGCATGCATGCACATGTAACTGGCATGTTTCTTATGTCAGTGAGTCCAGGACTTTAACCGTATGGTCAGCTATATGGAATCCAGCTGCCTTAACCACCAAGCCACAGACCTGGCCTGGTAGAATTGTTACTAGAAATCCTGTCTTGGAGAAGTTATGACTTTTCATTTGAGATGCATTCATTCTGTTCCCTATTTCTAGCATCCACTCAAAACTAATAAATAGGATGGTGTTGACACTGTCCTCTAATACATTTGGAATAACATAGATGCCATCACTGTGTAGTCAATTGAACTTTTATATAATTTAGAAGAAATTCAAACAAAATGTCAATTATCTAATGAGAAGATTGGTGGGTATCGTCAAGATGAACCTAACGCTGTGGTATCTTTTCTTATAAATACTGGTCACGTCACTACCTTTCTGCTTCTCCCCTCCCTCTCCTCCCCATGGAGTCTTGAACCAGAGTGTGGAGGATGGCTAGGAATGCAGTTGCCTCAGATCTATGACCTGTGCTTTGGGGTTGATTGCAGGTCACGGCAGAGTCCGAGTGGAAGAACCAGCTGCTTTTTTTTTTTAATTTAAATAAGTCATATTTTCCCATTTATATAGGACTACATATTTTATTAAACCTTTGAGTTGTTTCAGTTGAGGAAGAATTGTTGACTCTTTCATAAATAAGTTTATATCTGACATTTTAACATTTTCCACTAACCCTGCCTTTTCCAAACCAAAAATGTCTTTGTCATCCCTAAAAAGTCACTAAGAAACTAAAAAGTATTAGGACTGTATGCAGACATAATCTGGCCTAGAGACAGAGGTGACAATGCCTGGGTTTGTGAAGTGCTAGCTAACTAGTGCTAGCAGAAAGCACTAGCTGAGTGGACCTCTGCAAGTAATTTTCCTTTTCTAAGCCTCTGTTTCCTCATCTGTAGAGTGAATTATCCAACACAGATAATAAGTTAAGCAGCTTTAAATGGAAAGGGATATTATCATTGTTGTTGCCCAAAATAATAGCATTATGAGTCTATCTTTCTTGGTATTAGAAGCCAAAGTGGAACTAGTAAGTTAGAGAATGAAAAAGGAATTGCCAAATGGAGAAAAACTTGTTAAGGAATGTATAAAAGGTTTACAGATTGAAAAGAAATATTATTTATCTGTACATCATTTTCTCTATTAAATTGTAAAGACCAAACATGACACTATTATTTTGCAGGATTTCTGGAGACCAGAAACCCTCCAAATATTTTAGCATTGTCCCAGAGCGATAAGATAATTTGGTAAAGTGAAAACGTTTCTCATTCTGCAGCAACACAGGCAGCTACATGCATGTGAGGGTCTTTTATTTATTTTTAAACATTTATTTCCTTCATAAGAGAAAAAAAGGCAGAGTGGGAGAGACAGAGACAGGGTTTTCATGCCCCAGGCCACCCAGATCTCAGCCAGCCTAGATCATTGATCTGCACCATGTGTCTGGAATACTCGGGGAAGTCCTGGGATGTGAACCTAGCATCTTTCTCATGTGGGCCAGTTGTCTTACTACTGCTTCACTGCCTAACCTCCATATGAGCAATTTTTAAGACATGAATTAGCTACTTGACAACTATTTCTAGGCTTATGGGTATTAAGGCTCATTATATAATGATGAATTGCATAGTTTTCACAACATTAAGTTCAAACACAGCAGAAATAATGAAAAGCAAATGTAATCATCACCACTAACAACTGAAATCTTTCTCCACAGGTGGAGAGGACAGTGCTACTGGGGCCTTTCTTACATGGGGACCAATATCCATTCCCTTCAGCATACCATCCCTCCAAAAACCAGCAATGAAACACAGACTGAAAATGCCAGCTCTGGGGTGCAACTCTCCCACCATTTTTCAGCGGTCATTAGTACTAGTGAAAAGGAGCCCATCAGAGCCGCACTGTCACGCGTGTGTGGAGAGAGCATATTCCGGGCAGCCGGGGCTGGTTACAAGAGCCTCTGTGTGGTCCAAGGCCTGGTCGACATCTACATCTTTTCAGAAGACACCACCTTCAAGTGGGACTCTTGTGCTGCTCATGCCATATTGAGGGCCATGGGTGGGGGAATGGTGGACTTGAAAGAATGCTTAGAAAGAAATCCAGACACGGGGCTGGATCTGCCACAGTTGGTGTACCACGTGGAAAATGCAGGTGCCACTGGGGTCGATCGGTGGGCCAACAAAGGAGGACTGATTGCATACAGGTCCAGGAAGCGACTGGAGACATTCCTGAGCCTCTTTATCCAAAACCTTGTACCAGCACAAACACAGACATAGGTGGATTCTGACCCAGCATACCTACAAACAGACCTATGAAACTGTTTCCCATTATCTCTATCTTTTGAAGATAGCTTTGTCCTGTTGGTGGCTAACATCTTCTTTTGAGGAACATTTTTCCATTATGAATTCATTATTATAATTTCAATAAATTAATGACATTCATGAAGCAGATAAATTGGTGTATGAAATTCTTATGGTGAATAAAATGCTGAGTAGAGGCTGGTCGTAGGGTAGTGGTGAGTTGCTATACAGAGGAAGCCAGATTCCACATAGCCAACCAGGGTTCAAATCCCTGCTTGTAGGCTTGAAAAGCATGCAAGGCATGTGTGTGTATAGGATCCAGAAAGGATGGAGAATTGGAGGAAAAAGGATTGCAGTCTCTATTGTGGCATGTAGGCATGTTCTCTCTCTTGTGTGCACATGCTTAGGTGTCTTCTTCCATAAAAATAAATATATATTTCATGGGAAAAAAATCCTGTTCAATTAATAAAACTACTCTAAGCATGTAAGTGATAAGGCAATAGTCGCTGAAAGAAGACAGGGATTTGCTTGAGTTTTTTTTCCTGTCTTGAAAGGAAAAGAAGCAGTTTTAGCCATTTAGATCTGTTAATTTGTATGATTTAGCCAAGTTTATGGGCTTTCAACCATATCTTTGTGCTTCTTATAAGAAGTAAGACCTGGGACACTGGGGCTCCCCCTTTGCAGAGACAAAGAGATGTGAAGAGAGGAACACACATAGAGTGAGAGTCACATGTGGAAGGTAGCAGCCTGGTAACCAGGTAGTGCCAACTGGAGGGCACTATGTGATTTGTCTCTGTCTTTCTATGTGTCTCTGTTTTATTGTGTCTGTGTCTCTGTCACTCTCCCTATCTGTGTGTCTCTGTCTCTACCCTTCCCTGTGTGTGTCTACTAGCATCCCGTACTGAATGTTCTGTGAGGTAGACATGGGCCATGTTTCTATTCTCTTCAGCAACCTGGTACATAGGACATAGGTTGTGCTAGCTGGAGGGATCAAACCCTCAATGCTAACTTCTTTCTGCCAGCGCCCTCTGGGGGCCAAAGGATGTTTCTACAATATCCTCTATGTTTCTACAATTACAAATGAATGAAAACAAGAGTTTTGTTTTGTTTTGTTGTTTTTTGGGGGGGAGGGACTTTTTTTTGCTATGCACTCAATGGAGAGACATAGAAAGGGAAGGTAAGAAATCACCCCCCAGGCCACGCCACAATCCATTCTCCTCTTTGGATTTTGGGCACACATGCATGCACTCCTGGTATGATTTTCAGACCGTTGGATCCAGGATTCTAACCACAGTCAGTCATATGGGAGACTGACACCTTAACCACTATGCCACCTGCTGGTCCCAACAGTTTTTCTTCTAATGTCCATAAACTTCTTTAAATTGACAAATCAAATTGTATATATTTATGTTGTATAACATGATGTATATATTGTGGAATGGCTAAATCAAGCTAATTAACATATGTATTATCTCACTTAAATTTTTGTGAGTACACTTAAAATCTGTTAGTAATTTTCACGTATGCAGTACATTATCAACTATAGCCACCATGTTGTGCAGTAGAACTTTTGAACTTAATTCCTCCTGTCTAGCAAATTTTATATCCTTTGACTAACATCTCAATCCCACCACTTCTCCCAACCGCTGCTAACTACCATTCTACTTTCTGCTCTACGAGTGTTATTTTTTTAGGTTCATATATAAATGAGATCGTGTACTTGTCTTTCTGTGCCTGAGAGCCAGGAGGGAAAGGAGAGGGAGAGAGCACCCTCCAATGGGACATGGTGATGCTATAACCCCTTCTCCTTCATTTCTCCATCCTGTCAGGATTTAGGGCACATGTGCACTTGAGTCCAGATGTTTTTTAAGCCACTGAAGCTGAGATTCAAACCACAATTGGCCATGTGGGAGCCAGTTTCTTTAGCCATTAGGCTATAGGGCCAGCCATCTACAGTAATTTTTTTTTTTTTTTTTTTTTTTTTTTTTTTTCAAAAA